CCGTGTAGATTTTTGCATAACTTGACGGTGGAAAATCGATTAGCCCATGACCAACACATACGGCCACAACTTTAACTTTGCTGATCGATAAAGTCAGTTTACGTTCCGAAAAAGAACAGCCGGTCCAACTGACCGAAACGTCAGCAAACCAACAAATAATTTCCGGTGAGCGAAACATGCTCTATGATTCTTATCCCTGGATTCTGACTTTTGCAAATTTGTAAACTATTTTCATCTAGTTTTAATCACTTCAGTGCTTAGGAATCCCTAGGGCTCAATGGTAAAAAGTGTCCGTTTAAAAAAAACGAGCCAAAATTACAACTTGTATCCGCAGTCAGATGGTCCATTTTGTATGCTCAGTGAAAGAGTACTCTTCGTCCTTCCAAAACACGCTATCACCCTTTTAAACTCTTCTACTTTCGACGTTAGTTCTTATCAGATGCAGCAGGATATATTTCCTCCAAACACTTACTAGCGGTCACCATTTTAGTCTGTGCTCCCCGGTTTCTTTGCACGGGGTTATACGAAATAAGCCTGCTTTTGACGGCAAAATGAAGTATGTGACCAACTCAAATAGGCAGTTTTTTACCCGTCTACCTCTTCCTTACACGGAATCGGACGTGTGCGTGTCTTTAAAGGAGTTGCAGGCGGTGGATAACGTGGGTAGATGTATTCATCCGATGCCTTTGAAAAAAAACCCTAAAACCTCTGCGCAATTCGAGCATGCGGCATTTAAAATTAGATAAACTGACACTATCTAAGCTACTATTTATCTATCGATAACCTTGCGTTTTTCACATTTTGTTCAGTTAAATTAAATTTGCCAAAAATACCCTATATCAGTCTTCCATATCAAAACAGGACTCGAATGCAGCGAATCCGGTCCACCCCCTTTCAGACAGCTTACAACCTTACTCCTTATGCTTGAGGAATAATCTGACGGATGAAAGTCACTGTTTTGCAAATAGATGTCCACATTACTGCTTACTTACTTGTACCTGGCCTCGATGCTGTCATAGACTGTACCTCTCCAAGTGTGGCTATTTACGGCAGCAAGTCTGGACAGCTCAACTCATTCCCTTCTCTTTCATAAAAACATTTGAATTTTGTCCACAAAAGCCTCATACTATGTAAACTGGCAATACCTCATTTGCACTCCGATACTCATTGAGTTTTCGGTCACGAAATCTGCTCAGGCGTGGAAATATTGACATCCTGTAGGACAAATAGTCCTGCGCTAAATTCAACGGCGAGTGTAAGGTCATGGTTAGGTTAGGTGTTTAAATTTGGACCCGGAGATACGTCCCACCCAGAAATTTAGGGCGAGGCCGCCTGTCATACGGGGTTCCATATTCGAGGGCCTGAGCGAAAGCTTGTGGGTTGTGCTGCCAAGTCAACATTCGAAAACAGCTGATTATACGTTTGGGCGGATACAACGTTTCCAGTTTTGGCAGCCTATTTAGTTTATGTCCATGTCGTTAATCGAGAAATTACCTAGCAAGAAAAATGGTCTCTTCCAGCACGTTGCCTATGTTTTCCCGTCCTTTTTTATTGATATTTAGATTACCATACGCTGTATTAAGTTCCTGACACCGTTACGAATACTTCCTTTGTTATTATTATAATTCGAACCACGGAAGTGTAGAATCATACCATGTTGACGAAGGGTCATTTTCTATGCACCTAAAGTTAATCGAACTACTCTTATTATGCAGGCCTCTTTCAAACTAGTATTAACTTTTTCACTATGATTCTGTACGGATAAATTTTTTAGGTAGCATTATTGGATGTGTGCTTGCAGACCATAGTCTTTCTTAAAGTCCTCAAAGGTAATTTATGTCAAAATCTACTTTTGTTAACTACCCTACTGCCGTTTTATCCCTTTTAACGGAGGTCATCCTATATATCCATACCAATGCCAGAAACGTTTTCCGTTAACCGGCCCAGTGTCATGAGACACTTCTTTTTTCCCCTCCCCCTTCAACAGACGAAACATGCACCAACTGTTTTTTGAGTATTCGTGAGCAGAAAAATATACTTCAGTGAGTCCTCGCTACTGGTTCCATAGGAAGCAACTACATCTAAAGATAAGTGGATTGACGCTGCACGGATCGGTTGCGGGGCTCGCTCGTCCCGTTCTATGCCTGGGCTCACTCTCGAGTCCCACCTGTAGAAAATTGTCGACAAGGATAAGGCAGATTGGAATGACCATTTCTGGCTTATTAGCCCTCACCAGTCAACCCCAATCCCAGGTGTTGCACTACCCGAAGCTCGGACCTGCAACTTGTTAATTTGAATCGAGTACGGTGCATTTAAAGCCATGTTTAAAGATGTTTCCAACTGACGGGATAACGCAGAGTCGGCCCGGCGCGTGATTGTGTGACTGGTAGACTAAGAGCCAGGCTGCACTTGCGCCCTCCTAATGTGACATTTATGGCAGTCCCACACAGAAGCATCCAATTCAGTATTGTGGCAATCGAAAGTCGCTGTGTCGGCGCCCATCACTGCGTGGGAGAACGCTAGACATCGTCGGGAAGGACAGTCAGACTGCACTTTTCGACGGTTGAATGAAGCCAATCGCATTTCCTAGGAAAACGCGTTAGATCGTCGTTTATGCTCATTTTGTGGGACATTACGTCTCGTTTGAATTTAGTGCTTTCAAGAAAGATGCTTTCTTCCTAAAATATCTAATAATAGCAGCAATTTATAAACTCTACCTGCTTTTTCTTTGTCATAGGATTCCAGATTTCTTGCTATATACTTTCTCTTAGGAATAGTCATCAGCTACTGGCTCTCTACTGGTACCTAATTTTGCCCATAGAATATTACACTAACTACGTCAGGACAATAAAACTCTTCTTCCAGTGGTCGCTTCTTTCTCGTCTGAACTAAGTACGGCCTTTGTGGTTGCTGGACTTGAGCATAAATCATGTCTGTAGTCCATTAATTCTCAGAGGCGCTAACTGCAGATAGGCTAAAACCACCCATCTGTACTGTGTAAAATTTAAATTGCACGCTGTATCCCATAAACAGTACATTAACATACCTTTCAGGAAGCACGCGACTAACTGAATCCGTCACAAGATGTATAGAGGCCGGCACATTAAATATTTATTTCTTTCTGCACGTGACGTAGACAGCTGGCTGCAGGGATTCTCAAGAACACCACGCGCGACCATTTTTATTGCAGTCGTGTCCATGCACGTCAGTAGCCAGTACATTAAAGCAGTAGATCTATATTTTTGGATGTTGGCCTACCGTGTATGATCTCGTCAAGCTCATAATCTTCGGCCGCGTGTTACACCATTGGCAAGCCTGCCGCTCCGTCACCAGCCACAGCTTTCTGCCATTAGTATTTTAAAAGCATCAAAAGAATGTGTTCGTTAAATTAATGGCTAAAAAGTCTGTCTATAACATTTATTGATGGAGTCTAAGTAACTGTCCGTCCCGAATTCACGCAAAAATCTCGTCAATTGTGAACTCTGTTTTGCGCGATTTTCTGTGAAGGTTATTTTTTCAAAATGGCCAAGCTCCTGTTCAAAGTGAAAATTTGAGTGTGTTTTGAAAAATTATAAGAGTTTTTGGTTACTTTCTAAAAAAATTGTTAAAAAGTTCCATCCTGTAAGGATTATTAATGACTTACTTGCCTTCCAGATCTTAGTGGGAGTCTTGGGGATAGCCAGTCAGATACCGACGGAAGCAGTACAAGCAATGAAGTCGCCAATGACCAAAATCCTCGATCCGGTGGTGAGTGTTGTATTCTATTTTCCGCCTATTCTCAATCACTCAGCGAATGTTGTATCTATTCCATACGGTACTATTAAGCAAAAATAGTAAAGGATAAATAGTGTACAAACCTCAACAATGGACACAACAAGTCAAGAGCGAAGGGAGTCGGTCAAATCGCCTGACTCTATACAGGGGAACGACACAAGTTCAACAATAACGCCACACAGGACGAAACTAGTCTTGGGGAAACTTGTGCGTGTGAGTAGGTGGGGGGGGCTCCGATTTTATATGATTTCACGAGATAATTCACATAGCATCAGGATTGGTGTGAACTATCAGCTCGAAAGGGGGGGGTTCGTGAACAGAGGCATTATGAAAGTGTCAGCGGCGGGTGGCT